CTAAATGAGTAATCTGTAAATGACTAAATCACAACTTTTATCCCCAATTTTTACTCAATCACAGTTAAATAAAAATCATTAAAATACGTCAAGTTGAGGATAAGTTTGCGAAAATAAACAAATTGAACGAGCAATTAGAGTCCAAAACAAATTATAAAAATAGCCCAAGAAAATCATTCATAAATCATAAATAAAAATCATAAAATAAAAGTGTAGTACTTGAAAATAAAAGTACCTGTTGATTGTTGAAGAAGCCGAAGGTAAAGTCTCTGTATGAAGAACCGTGAACTTGAAGGCTCAAGGCTGTGAAAAGTGAAGCCGTGAACTTGAAGAAGAAGAACAGAACAGTGAAGCTGAAGCCCGAAGGTGAAGCCGCGAACTTGATCTTGAAGGCTGAAGTGGTGAAGGAGAAAGACCGAAAGTTCGAAACTGAATGTTGAATAGCTGATTTTGTTGACCTGATTGCCTGAAGAAGAAGACCGAAAGTTCTCGTTTGCTACTTCGCCGAACGTGAGACTGCAAAAATATGGGTGAAACCCAGGGGCTGCTCTGTTGCTGCTCAAACCGGAGTGATACCGTGAAAAGTGAAAACAGTGAAAGGGTTTGGGAAATGCCGAAATGGGAATTAATTGGGTTTTCAATTGGGCTACTGATTACTGGGCTAAACGGTGGGCTACAACCATTTAGCCTATAATTTCCACTAATTTTGTGCATAGATAGATATGCTTAAATGGGCATAATCACACGTGAATTAAAAATATTGGGTTAGTGACCTAAATTCATTTAGAGTTTGCGTGGTTTAGTGTATTGAGCTTTCTGATAGCTGGACCCTTGAGCGATGAGACGAAATTTTGAACAGAAGACCTACTGTTCGCCTACCGCTCGACTGGAGACCCTAACGCTCGCTGGTACTCAAGCGCCACTGTCATTTGGATGTTCTTTATTTTGTTTATTCCCCACATTGACCTAGTTTCCATCTTTTGGGCAACATATACCCCTATAAATAGTAGACTTTTTTTTTACAATTAGATTCATTACTGATGTTACATTACAAGAAATTTATGTTTAGCCTACAAAATTTTGAGAGGTAAATTCAAATTTGTATGCGGAAATCACTTTTCCCACAAAAAATTATTTTGTAGGCACTACAAAAAATTCATCTTTTCCCTACAAAATTTCCATTGACAAATTGAAATTTGTAGGTAAAGTTCACATTTCCCCACAAAACTGATGTTTTGTAGGGCTATGATTTACTTCAATTTTTTTTCCAAAACACTTCTTGTTTCATACTTTCCTTCTCTCTCTCCTCCCTTGTCCGTACACACATCTTCTGCAGCTATGATCCCAAAGAACACTTGTTGTTTCATTCTCTCTCTGTTGTTTTTCCTATGTTTCTATATTAACATCAATCTTTCACTAGGAGGTGACAGCATTAGAGCAAACCAATCTCTCTCTGGGAAACAGACAATCGTGTCTTCTGGTGGGACTTTTGAACTGGGATTCTTCAAACCAGGTAATTCTTCCAGGTATTATATTGGAATTTGGTACAAAAATAGTAGTCCAATGACCCTAGTTTGGGTAGCAAATAGGGAGACACCCATTTCAGACATGAACTCTGCAGAACTTAAGATTTTAGATGGGAATTTGGTGCTTATGAATGAGTCCCAGGTTTCAATTTGGTCGACTAATGTAAACTTGACAACCTCAAATTCTGTAGTGGCAACTCTAGGTGACAATGGAAATTTAGTTTTGAGAGATGAGTCAAAACCTAGGACAAGTGAAGGATTTTGGCAAAGTTTTGATAATCCAACAGATACGTTGTTGCCTGGTAGCAGGCTTGCCTATGATAAATGTACAAAAACAAAGAAAGTTCTCACTTCTTGGAAAAACTTTGTGGATCCTGCACCTGGGCTTTTCTCCCTTGAATTAGAACCAAATGGGAGTCAGGTAATCTTAAGATGGAATATGACTGAGTGGTACTGGACTAGTGGACCTTGGAATGGGCTTTTTTTCAGTTCAGTCCCCGAAATGAGTTTGAACGGTATTTATAATCATGTTTATGTTGACAACGTTAATGAGAGTTACCTCTCATATTCTCTTAATAATCCTTCCCTTAAATCTGGATATGTGATGGATGTTTCCGGGCAGATTAAGCTGATATTGTGGTATCAGAAGAATCGGCTTTTGGTTTGGCATCAACCTATGCAGCAATGTGATGTGTATGCTTATTGTGGGGCATTTGGTACCTGCAATCAGAATTCATGTTATTGTTTGCCCGGATTTAAGCAAAGGTCGGAATATGATTGGAGTTTGAAGGATTATTCGGGTGGCTGTGTGAGAGATATAATTTTGAACTGTACGAGTGACAGAAAAGACAAGTTTCTGGCGAATAAAATTGTTAGTTTACCTCCAAATCCACAATCAGTGATGGCAGGGAGTGCTCGAGAGTGTAATTCTATCTGCTTGAGTAATTGCTCTTGTACAGCTTACTCTTATGAAGACAATGCATGCTTGGTTTGGAATGGGGAACTAATGGATTTACAACAACCCACAAAAAATAATAGCAGTAAAAGAACGATCAACATTAGACTTTCCGCCTCTGCATCTCAGTTTTCAAATAATAAAAAAAGGAAAGTACTTGTAATCGGCTCTGTTGTGGGTTCTGTTGCGGTTGTTATGGTTCTATTGGCCACTGTCGTGATATGCATATGTCACAGGCATAAATCTGGGACTACAAAAGCAGTTGAGGAATCATCGTTAGCATTTAGGGACAAGGACATGTTACAAATTGAAACCAAAAATTCCTCAGATATGTTGGAGGGAGACAACAAGAGTGGTATCGGTGTTCCTTTCTGCAGTTGGGAAAGTATTATAGCTGCTACCGAGAACTTCTCAGACATACATAAACTTGGACGTGGGGGATTTGGTCCTGTTTACAAGGTTTAACTATTTCTCTCCATAATTGTTTGCTACAACAAAGTTTGTGCTTCCTTTTGTATTGATTCTAGCTAACAACTCTTGCAGGGAATATTTCCCGGAGGGCAAGAAATTGCGGTGAAAAGGTTGTCAAGTTGTTCTTTGCAAGGCTTTAACGAATTTCAAAACGAAATTGTATTGATTGCAAAGCTTCAACACTGAAACCTCGTTCGCCTTTTGGGCTATTGCATGAAGGGGAATGAAAAAATCTTACTCTATGAATACATGCCCAACAATAGTTTGGAAGCCTTTATATTTGGTTAGTTCGTGGAAAATGATATGATTTATATTTACAATTTTCATTTCTACTATTAATAATTTTTTTCGCAAATACTAGATAAAATATTATGCATGTTACCGAACTGGAAGAAGCGGTTTGACATCATTTTGGGGATAGCAAGGGGGGATCTTTATCTTCATCAAGATTCAAGGTTGAGGATAATTCATAAAGATTTGAAAACAAGCAACATTTTGTTAGACGAAGAGATGAACCCCAAAATTTCAGACTTTGGTTTGGCAAGAATTGTTGAGGCCACAGGAACAGAAGCAAGCACCAGTAAAGTCACAGGAACCTAGTAAGTGTCAATTAAAATGATATAATTACAATGAGACTACTGAAAGCACGAAAAACTGAAACATTTCATTATCTTATCTGATTATATTGATCATGTACATACAATCTCCAGATTTTGGCCTAGATCAGCAAATCAGTTCTTGGCTCGTCTGTGCCATGTGCAATGATATCAACAACGACAAATTTCTATTAAGCTATGCATATGTATTATGTACACACACACACACACACACACACACACACACACACACTAACTGACTTCTAGTTACCTTGATCCAGTGGTTATATGGCTCCGGAGTATGCATCGGATGGACTATTCTCTATAAAGTCAGATGTATTTAGTTTTGGAGTTGTTGTACTTGAAAGAGTCACAGGAAAGAAAAACACAGGATTTTACCAATCCTCAGAAGACTTGAATCTCCTGGGTTATGTAAGTAGATAAATTCCTCCATTCATATGCAAGATTTTATCCAATTCACAGTCTAAAATATTTTGAAGCTATTCATGCAGGTATGGAGATTGTGGAGTGAAAACAAGGCACTCGATTTGGTGGACTGAACACTGCTTGAATCTTGTGAGAAATCTGAAGTTATAAAGTGCATTAATGTTGGGCTATTGTGTGTGGAAGAAGATCCCAGTGATTGCCCTACTATGTTACTACAGTCGTTCCAGTTCCCAATCAACTGGCTTTTGTAATGCGAAAACGTGTTTTTAGCACATCGTCCTCATCCTCTAATAAACCGGATTCAATTTCCAATGAATTGACAATGTCTGCCCCAGATGGGAGATGAGGAATTCGCTTATTTCCTTCCATTAGTGTTTGTTTGTATGTTCAACCAAAATTCGCACCAACCAGTTCTTTAAGATACTCTAGAAACTGATATATATAGAACTATGCCAAGTAAGATAGCAATCTCTTGTACACTCATTTTTACATCTCTTTTATGTTATTTTACTTTTGGGGTATTGGTAAGACTCATGTACAGATATTCTATTAGTAATGAATAAAATAAACTATATATAAAAACAAACAGTTATGTAATGCCATTGCTAGAAATAATGGAGTATGTTGTTCTGCTAAATTTTAATCTTCCAACTACTGAACTCTACTTGTACATTTATCCACAATGGTTACATCAGATGTTGAATAGGATATTGATGGATCCCTAGTCTTGTCCACGCCTCCTAGGTGAAAATCCAAAAGACATACATAGGTACTCTTTGATGGCGATAAAAATTGAAGGGGTGTAATTTTAAAAAAAAAAGTAGTATTTTTTGATATTCTGAATTTATTCTCACATACTAATAAAAAAATAAAAATCTAAAATTTTAACTCTTTCATTATATTCTATTGATAATAGTTTGTCAACAACAATTTGTAGGTACTTCGTTTGTCACCAAATTTTTATTTATTTGGTAACTACTATTGATAATAGTTTATATTTAAATAAATAAACTTATTGAGTGATTGGTCAATTGGTCAGGCCTTGAGTTTGCTCCTCAATGGTCACCAGTTCGAGTCCCCTCAGGACCACTGAGGTAAGTACTCGGCCGTAAATTTTAGGATCCCGTGGGATTAGTCGAGGTGCGCGCAAGTTGGCCTGAACATCCACGGTTATAAAAAAAAAATAATTATAAATTTATTGAATTGTTGTTACCTTGTGCCTTATTTATATATAAATTTAATTTAATTGATTTTTTTAAATTTAAACCATCTTTAACAAAAATCCTAGATTCTCCTTGACTAGAGTTGTATATTTGGCTTGTGGAAGACTTTCTTAAAGTTCTTTGTTAGAAACTTAAAAAGCTTTTTGCTTTCTATGTTTGACCTGGACATGATAGTCCCTTTGAGATATTGACCAATTACCCTTTAAGGCAGGTTTTACAAAAGTTGGATACTTCAGGTCGGATGGTTAAGTGGGCAGTAGAGCTAGGTCAATTTGACATAAGTTACAAGCATCGCACTTCCATAAAGGGTCAAGCTCTTGTTGATTTTGTTGCGGAGTTCAGTTCGAATCCAACGGAAAAAATCCCTTGCGATACTCCATGGGAACTTTTCGTTGATGGATCCTTTACTGGAGCTCTGTCGGGAGCTGGAATTGTCTTGATTAGTCCAAACCACCAACTGTTCTGTGAAGCATTATCTTTTGATTTCAAAGCCTCGAATAATGAGGCTAAGTACGAAACACTTATAGCAAGGATAAGGATGGCGAAAGACATGNTGAAAATCCAAAAGACATACATAGGTACTCTTTGATGGCGATAAAAATCAGATTTTTAATAGATTTTGATAAAAGTTGATGGAATGTGTGGTTGAAAAATTGTGGACCCCATAAAATATATAGTTGAAATTAATTGTTGACTTTAATTTAGATTAAAATCTAAATTTTAATCACAAACAAACAGAGCATAGTCTGTTATCTCGTTTCACTAATATTTGGTTGAAGTTTGGCCAAGTGCAACAAGATTGCATGCTGTTAGAATTTGACTCAAATTAAATTATTCTTATCGTGTTTAAATTTTAATTATTGAATTGAAAATTTATAAAGAAAATCATCATATTTTTATGGTCAAGCAATCAAATTTATAGGAAAATAACACTAAAAAGTGATAATACATCGCGAATATTATTTTGGTAATTGTTTCTATATATATTTACTAAGGGTGAATAATATTGACAGATGGATATGCTAAAGGTGATTGTTACCATTGATTGGATAGACTGTAAGAAAGATATAGAATCTTATTTTTCTTTGAAGGGGTGTAATTTTAAAAAAAAAAGTAGTATTTTTTGATATTCTGAATTTATTCTCACATACTAATAAAAAAATAAAAATCTAAAATTTTAACTCTTTCATTATATTCTATTGATAATAGTTTGTCAACAACAATTTGTAGGTACTTCGTTTGTCACCAAATTTTTATTTATTTGGTAACTACTATTGATAATAGTTTATATTTAAATAAATAAACTTATTGAGTGATTGGTCAATTGGTCAGGCCTTGAGTTTGCTCCTCAATGGTCACCAGTTCGAGTCCCCTCAGGACCACTGAGGTAAGTACTCGGCCGTAAATTTTAGGATCCCGTGGGATTAGTCGAGGTGCGCGCAAGTTGGCCTGAACATCCACGGTTATAAAAAAAAAATAATTATAAATTTATTGAATTGTTGTTACCTTGTGCCTTATTTATATATAAATTTAATTTAATTGATTTTTTTAAATTTAAACCATCTTTAACAAAAATCCTAGATTCTCCTTGACTAGAGTTGTATATTTGGCTTGTGGAAGACTTTCTTAAAGTTCTTTGTTAGAAACTTAAAAAGCTTTTTGCTTTCTATGTTTGACCTGGACATGATAGTCCCTTTGAGATATTGACCAATTACCCTTTAAGGCAGGTTTTACAAAAGTTGGATACTTCAGGTCGGATGGTTAAGTGGGCAGTAGAGCTAGGTCAATTTGACATAAGTTACAAGCATCGCACTTCCATAAAGGGTCAAGCTCTTGTTGATTTTGTTGCGGAGTTCAGTTCGAATCCAACGGAAAAAATCCCTTGCGATACTCCATGGGAACTTTTCGTTGATGGATCCTTTACTGGAGCTCTGTCGGGAGCTGGAATTGTCTTGATTAGTCCAAACCACCAACTGTTCTGTGAAGCATTATCTTTTGATTTCAAAGCCTCGAATAATGAGGCTAAGTACGAAACACTTATAGCAAGGATAAGGATGGCGAAAGACATGAGAATTACTTATTTGAAGTTTACAGTGATTCGCAACTGGTGGTTAACCAGATCAACGAAGCCTACCAAGGTAAGGAGGAAATGATGAACATCTACCTTCAAGTCGTCAAATTAGAGCTCAAAAATGTCAAGACCGTGCTAGTCCAATGAATTCCCTGAACTCAAAATAGCCATGTCGATGCCTTAGCTCGACTGGCGACAAGTGAAGGGAAAGATGGATTTGATAGTATTCTGGTAGGAAGGATTTGTCATCCAGCCATTGAGGAGTTGGAAATTGTTTCTTTGATGACTGATCTGAAATCAAAATGGATGGATGAAATCAGGCCAAACCTGAAAACAGGTTTATGCCCAGAAGATCCCGTCGCAGCAAGGAAACTACGGGTTAGGCCGACAAGGTACACACTGATTGATAATGTCCTTTATAAGCGAGGATATTCTGTGCCTTTGCTGAAGTCTTTAAATGAAGAGGAAGCACTTTATGCTTTGCGTGAAATACATGAAGGAGTGTGTGTGAATCATGTTGGAGGCAGTCATCGGTTCATAAAATAATACAGCAAGGATACTTTTGGCCCACCATGAAGAAGGATACGTTGGAATTTGCTAGAAAATGTGACAAATGCTAAAGATTTGCTCCAATGCCAGGCTTCCACCAGGAGAGTTGAATCATGTAATGGCTTCATGGCCTTTTTCCAAGCGGGGGTTGATTTAATTGGTCCCATGCCAACTGGAAATTAAGGAACAAAGTTTGCAATTGTAGCAGTGGATTATTTCACTAAATTGGTGGAGGTTGAACCTCTGTCTAATATAATCGAGCAAAAGACTACTGACTTCATGTGGAAGTCCATCGTATGCAGATTTGAAATACCACACTATCGTGACTGACAGTGGTAAACATTTTGAAAATATTCACTTTGCCAACTTTTGTGAAGAACTTGGCATACGAAAATACTTCTCCACGCTAAATCATCCTCAAGGTAACGGCCAAGGTGAAGCAATTAATAAGATCATCAAGCATACGATGAAGGCCAAACTGGATGCTCTTAAGGGAAAATGGGCCGAGGAACTCCCTAGCATCTTGTGGTCTTATCACACTACGTTTAGGAATAGTACTGGAGAAACCCCTTTCTCTTTAGCATTTGGGGTGGAAGTTGTTATTCCCCTTGAGATAGGAATTTCTTCTATACGAACAATGACATATCAAGAGGAAGGAAATGAGAAGGTCTTGCGATGAGAGCTGGATTTAGTAGAAGATAGAATAAATGAGTCCGAAATCAAGAATGCCATATATAAGCAACGCAATGCAAGGTATTATAATCAGAAGGTTAGGAAATGGGAGTTCGACCAAAGCCAAAAATAGCAACAAATGAAACTATGAGGTTGGAGGGCCCTCTGGCATAAACTCATCTGCAATATCTTCATCGACAGGGAAAATCCGAACTCCTGCCACCTTCGACAACTGCTCCAGCTCCTTCTTCTGTCTTTGTATGCCTCTACCAGAAAGAAAGTGTCAAAGTTGGGCCCTTCTCTGTTAATGTACTTTATAATCTCGTCCAAGGCCACAACATAGGCATCCTGAGCTAGTGCGTCAAACTCAGGAGAGGCCCTCCAATTCTCAACTGCTTTAGAAGCTTTTAGCTCAATCTCGTCCACCTTCCTAGCGGCTTCCTCAGCTCTCTTTATGGCCTCATTACCTCGAGCCTTTTCTTCGTCATCTCTTTTCTTATCATTCTCAGCTCGGGCACTGGTCCCCTCTCCCCAGATCCTCATAAGTTTGAGCTCTGTAGTCAACCAACGTTCAGCTCCTCTCCCATTTTATTCAGAC